GACTAAAAAAAGAAGCAGTAAATAGCATTCTTATTGAGATGATCATTAGAATACCTATTACTAGGAATTGCTTGCAAACACGCAAATATTTCACTGTTATGTCAAGTAATCGAAACTCAGAAACCAGATCAGTTAGGAAAATAAGCAATCACAATGTAGTAATCATCCTCATTAGGTGTTCGAATGCTCAAGTCATTCAAAAAAAAACAACGATAACTTACGAATTTGACCACATTAGAACGATTTGCTCATTATTCGACAGATTTATCAAATTCTTTCCTTCGATTCTCAGAAGTTGTTTTGCGGAATCATAATTAACTTTCACCGAATCTCCCAACGGCACGCCGTTCAATATCATCGATTTGAAGTCTGATTCAAAAGGATAACCAAATATTTCGATAGTATCCAGCGTTGGCATATTGTTGATCACCTGAATTCTACGTATGTACCAACCAAATAATTATTCGGAGGAAAGATTCATGGCTATGCGATTAAATTTCGTTGTCGTTCTCGTATAAATTCGTTTGAACAAGTTTCTTATCAAGCAACTCTCACACTGTACACAGTACTTGTTAAGTTCTCAAGGCAAATACGTTCAACTGGCGGTTTTTATCATGTTCTCGCGACACAAAACCAAACTCTACATCCGTTTGTTATGGAATGCAGTCTTTTGAAATCATCGATAACAAATATACCCAATTGTTCAGATGAAGGATTGAACTACTGAAGGAACTGGTAGCTTAAAACTCATCTCGAATAATGACACAATGCAATACTCACACCGAACTGTTGTGGAGTTATTGTGAGTAGAGCGTAATTGAGGAAGACAGTGAAGTGTAATTGCCATTTCGAATAAACATTCGTTGTCAGCAGACTCTCGCCGTCATCCCAGAAGAGCACTCCGCTTGCTGGAGATAGCCAGTGCGAATCTGAAGTATGCATTCCATTCAATAATGCATTGATCCTCTATTGAATCAAAATGCTAACAATAAGTGATATAAGATTACGAACCGAGTGCAATCAGAAAATCGAAAGGATTCTTCCGCGAACTGACAGTTGTCATCTCTGGTTTCTGTCGAGGCACAATCGATCCACCTGAAGATCAAAATCTCAAAAAGAGTGTTTGATGGGTTCTAACGAACAATCTGTGCCAACTGCTTGTCACGATTAGTCGAATAAGTGATCAATAATTGATCTGATGAAAATTAAATGACCTCTGATAAACACTGGAATGAGCTGATTGAGAGGTGCACTGAGTTCAACAAAACCATTTGCTGCTTTCTTTCCATATTCTTCATCTCTTAACCAATACCATGTCGCCTCTTCCGGTAAATAAGCTGATACCTTCGTTTGTTTCTGCAAATTTCAGAAACACGCGTCAAATGGATTGATAGCGACAATATAGCAATACACTTGAAACTCGCACTACGACGTCATTAACTGCCCCTTTACATCAAGTTCATGCCTAAACTTGCATAACAGTGGAAGTATTACCTCTCTCAGAACGGGCGCTATTAAGAGTGCAGATCCCCACATAAACTGTTCGTTGTTTTCATGAGTTTTTAAGTTGTTTGGAAATTCGAAGAAGGTCGGCCGAATCACAGTTCCACCACTGACTGATGCCTCGAAATGCAATCTGAAATATAGCATTTGACTTATTTCAATGCAGGTGTAGGTCTGATGCAAATTGTTTTCTTTCGTTGTTTGAGCTCTAGATAATAATGAGCTTCTTTTTTGTCCGTTCAGTTCAGCTNNTTTTTGGTGTCGCGGAAATCGCGAAATAATGGTACAAGAAACGTTGTGCTAATAATTTAGTCATGTAATATTTACATGAGTTTATTGTCATATTTTATCAAGCAAATTTTTAATTATCTCAATGATGTATTGCTAGTTAAATCTTTTCATTGTGCACCTAAAGTATTCTGATAGGCGATTGGTGATTAGTTTTGAGGAGGTTTCGTGGGTTGTTAATTGTGAACGTTATCAATTAGGCTGGATATGCATTGAGAAATACATCCAGAATTCAAGTATCTCCTCGGAATAAATATTGAACTGAGTGTCAACCAAGACTTTCAGTCTGAGTCAGTTACTGAATTTGACTTTAGCAATTTCTATTATATTTGGACACACTGTTACTATAATCCTAAAAGCTACAGTATTCACTATTCCCAATACGTATTCTTATTTCAACTCAACAATAATTCACGCCTCGGATAACAATACAAGCAGCCAACCGATTACAATATCTCAGCACAGTGAAAAGATTGTTGGTTCATTCGTCACAAATATTGTGCTTGTTTATTGGTTCTGACTTAATGGGTTTGTGATTTTCTTGTTTCTATATTCTGATGTTCGTCGAAGAGCAGTTTTTCACACGGGGGGAAACCCCACGGGGAGTAAATTGGATGGGGGAGTCCCCGCAAGAAAGCCGGGGAGCGAATTGCGCGGGGGAGGGGAGCGCTCCCCGCGTTCCCCGCCGGGGTCCCGGACGGGTAGCCTGTTTCCCGACGAACACTACTATATTCCGTGATTTCGTTATTTGTGTTATCAACAAAATCATTGTTTGAATACGAAACTGTCATCGCGTCCTTCTTGGTCAAGTTAACGGATTATCCAAATCGGAATAGCAGATTTCTATCTTTTTGGCGTAAATTCCGCGACACTTGGTGGCAACAGAACCAATGAAGAATAACATACGAATAGAGATACGGTAGATATNCAAGTTAACGATTATTCAAATCGGAATAGCAAATTTCTATCTTTTTGGCGTAAATTCCGCGACACTTGGTGGCAACAGAACCAATGAGGAATAACATACGAATAGAGATACGGTAGATATCGATATCTGAACAGATTGGCTTGACGTGCTGCATTTGCGACAGTTGGCCAGACTGAAGGTTGTTGTGGTGAGGAGTTGATGGAATTATGGTTTCTGAAATCAGCCAAAGATTTCATCCTATATTCCGAGCATTCTTTAGATCATTATTGGAAACTACATCAGACTGATCGATTAATTATTACTTGGACATCGAGTGGTTGTCTCGTC